GGAATTATATTGTGAATAATTGATTTAATAATTAGTACCCAAATATGCACAAGTAGGACTGATCATTTACCTGTTTCTGAACCCATCTCTGGTTCTGTCCATTTGTTGTTTGCCAAAACCAGGCTGATAGAAGTTTGCTGCCTGTACTGCAAGGTCATGTGGTAGGGCCAGCCCCTCCAAAGCTGCCTGCTGCAACTCTAGCTGGCTCATCTGCTGAACAGAAGTATCAGGGAATGATCAGTGGATGAATGAGGACGTCAATGAATTCTGTTTAAGTGGTTTGCCTGCATGTAAGTAAGCGCACCCATGCATGCAATGCTTTCGGAGGCCAGAAGAGGGTGGTCAGATCCCCTGGAACTGGAATTACAGTTAGCTGCCATGTGAGTGCTGGGAGCCTAACCTGGATCCACTGCAAAAGCAGCCAGTGCTGTTAATTGCTGAGCCATCTCCAGCCCCTAGTCAATGCATTTTTCTACAAAGGTCTTATGGCTTAAGCAGTGGCTGAGAAAAATTAGATGCTGCAAATACCTAAGTTATGCTGCCATCCACTGAATGGTATTTTTAAAACTTAAATCACTCAGCAATTTTCTAGCCTGTACTAAACTTGAACTATAATACCATTGCAAAACAACCCATATAGATCTATTGCTGCAAAATTGCTACCAAGCATTGTGGCAATTTAATTCTCCATCCCACAAGCAATGATAAGGGCGAAAAAGCAAGCAATAGATTGGGTCTGAGAAAGCGCTCAGCCTGACCTGGGCTGTGACAGGGCTCATGGGCTTGCGAATGCCTTGGAATGGATCTCCAAGTAGCTGCTGGGGTCCTGATGTGAAACCTGCCAGGAAAGTTACAGAATCAATGAATGTTAAGTGTTAGGGCACCAGGGCAGCATAATCACTACAGTATGCTGCTTCTTGTTAAACACCATCTCTTCTGGTAAACACTGCTTCCCTGGCTTGATAAGATGTTCTTTTTTCTCTCTCCTCTCAGTGTGGACCTTAATCAGACCTTGTAATGGAATGAACACTTTTGGTGTAGCCATCTTTCCCACGAAGGTCACCTTTGTCCTTTTCAGAGTTGGAAAGCTAAGTTACCAGGGTCTCACTGTAGCTCCAGTTGGCCTGGAACTCACTACGTGGACCAGGCTGGCCTTAATCTCACTAGAGATCCACCTGCCTCTGCCTCTCCAGTCCTAGGATTAAAGGTGTGCGCCACCATGCCTAGCTCTAGTACATTTCTATCCAGCAATATGGCCACACTCACTGTGGCAGCTGGTACCAAAGTAGAGACAGGTGCTTTTTGTGTCTGTAGGTTTGTGTACTATCAGTGCAGTACTCTTGGAAGCCCAAAGAGGCCAACGGATTCCTTGGAAATGGCAGTTGTTAACTGCTCAACTTGGGGGCTGGGAACAGAACTTGGGCTCTCTGCAGAGCAGTATGCACTCTTAACAGCTCATCTGTCTAGCTCCAGACTCTTCCCATAGAACCCTATGTCAGTGACTCTGGACAGATGTCAAGGTATGATTGGCAGAGGCAAGAAGCCAGCAACTTCCAATGGGTCAATGGCAGAAACACTAGGATAGCTTTCTGTAAGTGCTTCTTTCAGTCACATTCTGAATTAAACTCAGGATTTGACAGTTGATTATTTACCAACTTCAACTGCCTGACAGAGAATTAGTTTTCCTTGACAGGGTCTCCCTATGTAGCCTCAAATTTACTATGTACAGGTGTGTGCCATCATTTCTGGCTCTCCTCAAGTTCTGTATTAAGACATAGGAAGCCAAATTCACTTTTTGGGGCTTAATTCTCCAAATAACGAAGAAAGCTAAAGAGCAACACAAAGAAAAACTTTGCCATGAATATATTTACCTAAAAGGGCAGCTGGGTAATAAACTATCTTCCACCTAGATTGCACATTCTCCCTGGAAATTATTATAGCACATTTATACATTTATTGTACAACTCTGTAAAAAGATTGCCAGGTCTAGGGAACAAGTATATCCTACATGTATGTGAAGGGAAGACAGACATGATGCTTAAGAGTAGGTACTGGGTTAGGAGCCCAGATCAACTGCAGAGTGCTCAGCTGGCAGGCATGAGGCCCCGAGTTCAATCCCCAACAACGAAAAAGAACTAGTTACCAATTGGTGATGGTACCCTTGGACGAAGATAGTCTGCTGAAGCTGCTCGAGTTTGAAACACCTGTGACATGGGAGGAGAGGGTGCTCTTTGGCCCAGTAAAGATGCAGGAGGCTCCAAGTTCCCCATAAGGCCGCTGAGAAGGTTGGAAGAAGGAGGTCTCTGAACTGTTTGACCTAGAAGTTCCTATAGGCAGAAATATCAGATCTGTATGAACAAACCTAACTCTTCCTTCTAGTCCAAAGCTTTAGAATATGAATTCATTTTTGGAATAGATGATGACTCTCCCTTATGTTTCACTGAAGGATATGGCATGTGTACATACACATTTCTCTGGTCATTCAAATTAGAGCTACAAAGACAGATTAGGTACTTAAGTTTCACAGAAATTGCAAACTTGCAAACCAGAAGTCAAGAACTGGCTTTGTCATCTTCTAAAGCCATCCTATTCTACTCCACCCCTACTGAGATTAGCTGTAGCATTTACCTAGTATCTCGGGCAGCAATACCACATCCTTGACTGCTAGGCAACATGGATCATTCTCTATGGTCCAAGCTTGGTCCACAAAACCAGGCAGGGGACTAGGACTCTAGGGGTTCAGTGTAAGACTGTAACATACCTGTAGGATATTCTTAGGGACAGGCTGGCCTGGAATCTCAGCAGGGGCCAATAAATGGCTTTCAAGGTTTCGCTAAAAACAAAAAGGAAAACTGGTTTTAACTATAATGCAATTCATAGATTGAGGACCACAAGAAAAATAGCAAATATTCCCAAGGGTTAACAGTTATCAGAAGAATGCTATTCAAGTCTATACAGAAATCTAACTTGGGGATTTAAAAGAAAAAACACACAAAAAAACAAAAAACTAACTTATACCAATGTGTTCCTTTCTTATCACACAGGTCTCAAAAATCTGAGGGCAAATTCTTCCCATATATATGCAAATTCATTCTGAGATACTCCCAGTGATAACCCCAGTCCATTTTTGTCTCCAATACTATGACCAGAAGACGCTGATCTGGTGGGTATATGCCTTTAATCCAAGCAGAGGCAGGTGAATCTCTGACTCTGAAGTCAGTCTAGTATACACAGCAAATTCCAGATCAGCCAGTGAGACCCTGTCTCAAGAAAACCCAGTGAAGCTGAAAAGCAGTTATATTAGAAATCACAAAAATTATAGATGAAATCTATTTTTTTCTTTTTGCTTTTTTTTTTTTTTGGTCTTTTTGAGATAGGATCTCCTTGTAGCCCCAGCTGTCCTGAAACTCACTATGTAGACCAGGC